ATATAATATTATTATTATTGCTGGGCAGTATATATCATTATTATTGCTGGGCAGTATATATTATTGTTATTATTGCTGGGCAGTATATAATATTATTATTGCTGGACAGTATATAATATTATTATTATTGCTGGGCAGTATATATTATTATTGCTGGGCAATATATATTATTATTAGTAGTATTGCTGGGCAGTATATAATATTATTATTGCTGGGCAGTATATATTATTATTATTATTGCTGGGCAGTACATATTATTATTATTGCTGGGCAGTATATAATATTATTATTGCTGGGCAGTATATAATATTATTATTGCTGGGCAATATATATTATTATTATTATTGCTGGGCAGTGTATATTATTGTTATTATTGCTGGGCAGTATATATTATTATTGCTGGGCAATATATATTATTATTATTATTGCTGGGCAGTATATAATATTATTATTGCTGGGCAGTATATATTATTATTGCTGGGCAATATATAATATTATTATTATTGCTGGGCAGTATATATTATTATTATTATTGCTGGGCAGTATATAATATTATTATTATTGCTGGGCGGTATATATTATTATTGCTGGGTAGTATATATTATTATTGCTGGGCAGTATATATTATTATTATTATTGCTGGGCAGTATATAATATTATTATTATTGCTGGGCAGTATATATTATTATTGCTGGGCAGTATATATTATTATTGCTGGGCAGTATATATTATTATTGCTGGGCAGTATATATTATTATTGCTGGGCAGTATATATTATTATTATTATTGCTGGGCAGTGTATATTATTGCTGGGCAGTGTATAATATTATTATTGTTATTATTGCTGGGTGTTTATTATACCCTGGGGTTAGACTGAGGACAAGCCAGGCAGTAAGGGGGGGGCTGACAAGTGACGTCACACCACACACAAGGCAGGATGACGTCACCGGTGCCCCCTGCAGTGTGATGTCATCAGCCCCGGCCACTTCCTGTGTTAGTGCCATTAATATGACTCAGCTGTCTGTCACAGTGGGAGACATGTCGCCGCGGGCAGCAGCACCCCGCTCTGCAGGCACGCCCAGCGAGGCCTGGCTCATTGTGTGGGACCCTGACCCCGTCATTACCTGAGATCTCACACCGGGCGCCGCTCACCAACAACAACCAGGAGCCGCTCCGGACATTTACCCTGGCAACGGAAGTCACCGCCTTAGCAACCGGGCTCCGTCCGCCGCGGTGATTGGTCGCCACCGGCATTTACCTTTCCCACATGATTGGACAGGACAGCCTGTCAATCAAACTCACCGCTGGCGCTATGACAGAGGGAGGTGGGCACATGGAACGTAGTGTCAGGCTGTTCATTATAAATAAAGCATCATAAAAAAAAAAAAAAAAAAAGAAACTATTGGCAATAGCTATAAAGAAACTGTAAACAATGAGCCCCTACACTGCCAGTATTCCTATCACTGTACTGAGATATACACTGACTGCCAATATAGTACTGAGATATACACACTGTACTGATCACTGTACTGAGATATACACTGACTGCCAATATACCTATCACTGTACTGAGATATACACTGACTGCCAATATACCTATCACTGTACTGAGATATACACACTGCCAGTATACCTATCACTGTACTGAGATATACACACTGCCAATATACCTATCACTGTACTGAGATATACACACTGCCAATATACCTATCACTGTACTGAGATATACACTGACTGCCAATATAGCTATCACTGTACTGAGATATACACACTGCTAATATACCTATCACTGTACTGAGATATACACACTGCCAATATACCTATCACTGTACTGAGATATACACTGACTGCCAATATACCTATCACTGTACTGAGATATACACTGACTGCCAATATACCTATCACTGTACTGAGATATACACACTGCCAATATACCTATCACTGTACTGAGATATACACACTGCCAATATACCTATCACTGTACTGAGATATACACTGACTGCCAATATACCTATCACTGTACTGAGATATACACTGACTGCCAATATAGCTATCACTGTACTGAGATATACACTGACTGCCAATATACCTATCACTGTACTGAGATATACACACTGCCAATATATGTATCACTGTACTGAGATATACACTGACTGCCAGTATACCTATCACTGTACTGAGATATACACACTGCCAATATAGCTATCACTGTACTGAGATATACACTGACTGCAAATATACCTATCACTGTACTCAGATATACACTGACTGCCAATATACCTATCACTGTACTGAGATATACACTGACTGCCAGTATACCTATCACTGTACTGAGATATACACACTGCCAATATACCTATCTGTGACGAAATGCCTTTTGTCACTAGATTTTTAGGTGACAAGTTAACCGCAGCTTAATTGGCGAACGCTGGATGGCCTTCGTTCGTTAGCCGAATACGTGGTGGCGGCCATCTTTGATCATTCGCACAAGGTCTGCGTTATGTGTAGCCAAATTCATGGAACTAAAATCGGCTACACATTTCCGCGAACACCGCTGAGCCCTACCTTCTCCCACAACTATTTTGCAGCCGCAGATACTAAGTCCCATTCGGCGATGGGACTTAGTCATTTTTTCAGCCTGAAATAGACCGACCGCACAGCCCAAATCTACGGAACTGTTTTGGTCAGGAAAATGTGCTTGCGGTCGGTCATAAAGGGTCCTCCAGCTAAATTTTAACCCCTGTATGGATTTGGCTGATTTTTGGTTATGTTTATATTTAAAGTGTGCTGATTAATAATGTGTAATTTATGAATATTGGATGTATAGTTTTAGAGTTATGAAAGTTGGGTAAAAAGTGTATTTTAAAATGTATGGATAATTGGGTTACCTCTCAGGCTAAGGAGAGGAGATGTGTGGGATGTAACCATTGTGTGATTGAGTATTGTATAATTGTCTGTGGGCGTCTCCCTTGCAGGGGAGAATTGCATAAAAGCAGAGTATGTGCCATTAAAAGTTCAGATCATCTTGTACCTTCATGAAGTTTCGGCTCATGTTTGGGGGATTGGAGAACTACACTCTGGGCATTGCTATAATCACTATACTCCCCAGGGTATAATCACTAAGCTCTGCTAAGAGCTTGGTCCTGTTCCTGCTCTCTGGAATTCGGAGAGAGGTCGACCTTCTGGAAGCTGGACCCTGGTCTTGGGTCCATGGTGGGTGGAGACGGCGAGACCCCAACCAAGCTGTGGCGGTTCGTGGGGTCTGCAGTGGTTATGGTGCCAGGCAGAGTGCTTGGAGTCCTCGGAAAGCACTAGGAGCATCCGTCGGCGGAAGGTACCCGGTCGGGGTGCCATCGGTTCCGTTACACTATCACTGTACTGAGATATACACTGACTGCCAATATACCTATCACTGTACTGAGATATACACACTGCCAATATGCCTATCACTGTACTGAGATATACACTGACTGCCAATATACCTATCACTGTACTGAGATATACACTGACTGCCAATATACCTATCACTGTACTGAGATATACACACTGCCAGTATACCTATCACTGTACTGAGATATACACACTGCCAATATACCTATCACTGTACTGAGATATACACACTGCCAATATACCTATCACTGTACTGAGATATACACTGACTGCCAATATACCTATCACTGTACTGAGATATACACTGACTGCCAATATAGCTATCACTGTACTGAGATATACACACTGGCAATATACCTATCACTGTACTGAGATATACACTGACTGCCAATATAGCTATCACTGTACTGAGATATACACTGACTGCCAATATACCTATCACTGTACTGAGATATACACACTGCCAGTATACCTATCACTGTACTGAGATATACACACTGCCAATTTAGCTATCACTGTACTGATATATACACTGACTGCCAATTTTCAGATTTTATACCCCCTGTTTCCAGAAATGGCAAGTCTGATGCATTATCTAGGATAGCTGACCCTCTCCATATAGCAGTAACAGAAACCACCATCTTAGCGGAGAGTAGATTTTTAAGAGTTCCCCTTACCTCTGACCTAGTATATTGCATTAATATGGGCTATGTTGAGGTTTATTGAGATCCTCCTCGTGAACTTCATATGACCATACTTAATGGGTTTCGGGTTTTAAAACAACGTCTGTTTGTTCTACGTGCAGACATAAGACTCCTCACGCTTCCCCAGTTGGCTTGCTTCAGCCTCTGGACGTTATTGTAGAACTACCTCTGTCTAAAGAACATACTACCATCATAGTTGTTGTGAACCTGTTAACTAAAAATGAGTAACTTCATACCAGCTCGTGGTCTCCCTTCAGCCAAACAGACTGCGTTGTTGTTCTCAGGGAGATATTTCGCTTGCATGGAATTCCTGATTAAGTCATTTCTGACACAGGAGCGCAGCTTACTGCACATTTTGTGAAATGTTTCTGTTCTATTTTAGGTATAAATGTGAATCATGCCATCCACAAAATGAACCAACCGGTCTTTGAAGCAATATCTGCAGTGCTATATTATTTTTCTGCAGGATGACTGGCTGGATTTTCTATCCACGCGGAGTTTGCCTATAACAATGCTCAACACTGCTCCACTTCTCTGAGCCCATTTTTTGGCCAATTAGAGTTACCATCTGGCGTTTTCCAGTGAGTCCCCCTATTACTACTTCCACTGCAGCAGTCACTGACCGCCTTAACGGCTTATGTTAATCCCAGGAACTGTTGAAGGAGACTCTTGTGGAGGTTCAGGAATGTTCCAAAAGAGCTGGCATAGAAAGCATACCCCAGTTTATCACATTGGTGACAAGGTTGGGCTTTCAACAAAGAATCTCAAGCTAAGGGTACCTTCTCATAAGTTGGGTCAAAAACTCATTGATATCGTCACAGATCAATGCTGTCACTTTCCGTCTACAACTTCCATATACCATGAAAGTGCACTTAGTGTTTCATGCTGCATTGCTTAAACCTTTTCATGAAAATCCTTTGCCTGGATGAGCCTTACCTGCCCCATCGCCAGTCTTTGGTGGATGGTGAAGATGAATACGAGAAGGATGAAATTCTTGACTTGTGGATCTTCTGCAACAAACTTCAATACCTGGATCAAGGCCAAGGCTATGGTGAGGAGGATAAAGCCAGTTGGAATAATATTGGAAGCCAGTTGACAATATTCATGCTCCTGATCTTCTTCAGTCTTCTCGCACGGTACCCTGCTAAACCAGGGAATAAGACATCTGGAGGCTGCACCTGTAGAGGTGGGGTGATGCGAGTAACTGACTGTGTTGTGTTTCAAACCCTGATTTCGATGTTGCAGGTCCACTTCCTTACCAGCTCTCTAGCCTGCCTTTTGTAGAGTTATCTGAGTTTCGATAACCTTGACTCTACATGCCATGATATTAGTGCCAACTCTCATCAGCTGTGTCTGGCTCATGGCCTATATAAGCCACTTCCTGCCTCTGTATATTTGCCCGATTTATGTTTTTTTTTTTTGTTAAACCCATTGCTGAATTTAGACCATCTGACTTTGCTTCTTCTCTTTTCCACTGACCTCGACTTGCCTTACTATGTTACCATCTTTAAGTTCCAGTCTCTGTTTAAGACCAGACAGCCACTCAAGGCTCAGGGGCTCACCCACCTGGGTAACGAGTGCAGGGCCGGACTGGCCCACCGGGATACCGGGAAATTTCCCGGTGGGCCGTCGGCACCTGGAGCCGGGCAGGCAGCTGGCTCCTCTGCGGCCGCATGGGGGAGCTGGCTGTTCTGCCTCTGCTCCCCCGCCCTCGCGCGCTAGAAAGAGACCGGGGCCGGAATATGACGTCATATTCCGGCCTCGGCCTCATTAAGCGGCACGCTTGAGCGGGGGAGCAGAGGCAGAACAGCCAGCTCCCCCTGCGGCTGCAAGAAGACTCAGCTCCCCCATGCGGCCGCCAGCACAAAGGTAGAAATTATGTGTGTCAGTGTGAGTGTATGTGTGTCTGTGTCATGGTGTGTGTGTCTGTCTGTGTCATTGTGTGTGTGTGTGTCTCTGTCATGGTGTGTCTGCCTGTGTCATGGTGTGTGTGTGTCTGTCTGTGTCATGGTGTGTGTGTGTGTCTCTGTCCATCATGGTGTGTGTGTCTGTGTCATGGTCTGTCTGTGTCATGGTGTGTGTTTGTCATGGTGTGTGTGTCTGTCTGTGTCACCGTGTGTGTGTGTCTGTGTCTGTGTCACGGTCTCTCTGTGTCGTGGTGCCTGTGTGTCATGGTGTGTGTGTCCGTCTGTGTCATGTAATGTGTGTCTGTGTCACAGTGTGTGTTTGTGTCACAGTCTGTCTGTGTTATGGTGTGTTTCTGTCATGGTATGTGTGTGTGTCTGTCATGGTGTGTGTGTGTCTGTCTGTGTCATGGTGTGTCTGTGTTTCTGTCTGTGTCACGGTGTGTGTGTCTGTGTCACGGTCTGTCTGTGTCATGGTGTGTGTCTGTCATGGTATGTGTGTTTTTACTCACCTTTTCCCCCCCCACGTCGTGCTGGTCTCCCCTCGACTGGCCCTGCCTCAATGGCTGAGATCATCAAGCTTGATGATCTCAGCCAATCCGCACTGACACAGGAAGCACCTCTAGTGACCGTCTGAGTGTCTGTCACTAGGAAGCAATGTAAACACTGCCTTTTCTCTAAAAAGTCAGTGTTTACATTGAAAAGTCTGCAGGGACAGGCTATAGACACTAGAACCACTACATTAAGCTGTGTGTGTGTGCGTGTGTGTGTGTGCGCACGCGCGTTTGTGCATGCCTGCTACTGAGTGAGCTTGTGTTTTTATATCAATGACCTTATGTATATCAGTGAGATTGTTTGTTTATGAGGCTGTGTATCACTCATCTTGTGTCAGTGAGATTGTCTGTGTCTGCATGTGAGTATACTTACTGTAAAAATTTTACTCTGAAAGGACCAATATTTTATATTGGAAAAAGCAATATATATATCAATCATCTAGGGTGGCAAGACATAGCTTACATATTACATGCGACAATATATGGTGCAATGACTTATGGGGCCGGCATAGATTTTTTTTCCAGGGCTGCTTTGGAATCCCCAGTCCGGCCCTGAACGAGTGGTCATCTCTGGCAGAAAACTTTGCTGATCTGACTGCTGGACTGCAAACCCTGTTCAACATCAGTATCATTACAGCAGCAAACATTTTAGCAAGTAGCAACTTGTCTGTAAAATTTACTGACAACACTGGAAATGACCTTTAAATCAGAAGAAATTAGCAAGAATGACCTTTTATGGAATAAAATAAACTCTTTCTGGCTTTGTAGCCTTCCAAATCCGCATACGTAATATAGACTTATGTGATTAAACTATTCTATAAAATTAGGTAGATTGTTAATTAAATGCATAAAAAGAAGTAAATACAAAAAATGCACATATTCGTTAATTAAAAAGGGAATAAAATAAACAATTGTGAAGTATTCAAATTGTTAATATTTCTCTTTTAAAGGCTAACGGTAAGTTTAAAAACAGTTTATTGTTAATGTAAATATATATAAAACTTAAAAAACTGGTTTATGTGATACTTTATTACATCTTAAAATAAATAATGCTTAATTCAAGATATTAACTATATTAAATATATTCACTTATTTAAAAGTGGTTAAATAAATTGTGCTTTTAAAGATTATTTTATGATATCCAATAATGAAGACTCATCTATGTATATATTAATTTCAGAGCTCTACATTAAAATTGCATTTCATGTTGGATTAATTTCAGCCTTTAATGAAACACATCTTGAATCAAATTACTCTTACTTTTTCATATGTGAAAAATGCCTAACAGAATATTTAAAGGGACAAGACAACCACAAGAGCTTTGGATGCCAGTGTACACCATGAAATTGGGACGCGAGGGTTACCCCCAAGGGGGTTGGCAAGTGATACAAATTTTTGCCACTTGTGATGCCCAAAATGGAAGATTTTGCTCTTAAAAACAGATGAGGCCACCCAGAGAAGGGACATATCAGTCTGGTAAGATACTCTCTTCATGGTCCTCTTGCCCTCAGCACATTCTAGCGATGTGCTCAAGTTATGCTGACCTGGGACAATTCTCTGTTGTTCCTGAATGCACGACACCAGGAAACAAAACTGGGAAATTGTGAGTGGAGACAGAAATCAGGAAATAGATCACCTAAATTAGGGTAGTTGAGAGGCATGAAATATCTTAAAATGGTTTATCAAAATTTCATGGGATTCCCGGCATCCAAAGACCACTCTTCTGATTGAGACTTCATAATACAAAAGTGTCACTTCCTCGTTTTCTATCCAAATATTTCCAGTGTGGAAGCACACATTTCATACTTGCGCAATGCCAGTCTGTGGCACCGGGCTACATGAAAGCTGCATCTCTGTAGCCATGGATTACTTTGCCTTACCCAATGGGCCCCCTGTATTTGATGGCACTAGAAGGGGTGATGTATTGTAATCTCACACATGACAAATGTTTGAAGATATGACAAAGTAAAGCCCATCTGTATATAAGTCTGCATGTGTTACAAGCTGACGTCATTCTAATTTAATTGATGTTTAATTAGTTTAATTGTCTCCATCGTCAACGGCCGAGCACCACAATTATTAACATAATCTTCATCATGGGAAAATGTACAAGCACATGAGTAAAGTATTATCAAAACAACTTCATTTGTACTTGTTCGACTTTCACACCAGGGGACCTTACTGCTACTGGAATTCACACGCATATTGACATGCATAGTGACCTTGATCACACTCTCCGCAAGAAAACGTAGTCCTTACTTTTTTGTATGTAAAACTAAGATAAATTTAAAAAAAAATAATACAATCCAGGTGAAATAAAGGGAAAAAAGGAATTAACTTAAAAATAAATAAATCAATAAATCCTCAACTTAAATATTTCAGAGTCACAAGGGAATTGCTCAAAAGGGCCTAAACTTTTTAAACGTCACACCTTCACTAAATTCAATAGCCGAAGCCGAATCTTGGCATATGCCCTGTGACAAAGTGCCCTTCGCCACTTGTGCCTGGAGGGGACTATTGGCTAGCCTCCTGCCTTCCGACTATGGCCCATGTGCTGATAGCGGTATTTTCCCCTGCAGAAAGGTTTATTTGTGTATTTCTGCTGGGGCGTTCTGGGCTTTCAGTATGGTAGTAGTGCTATCCCAGATAGCTATGCCATGGAGCCTATTTGTGTAACAAAAGACTATGGAAAAGACTTTGTGATCTGAGCGCCATTCAATAATAATGTGCACTCAGATCTAAGCTATCTGGGGATATGTTGCATGTATATGTTTTATGTAGTAATTGTAACATTGTGTAATTTTATGTCTTTTTGTAACCATGTGGTTAATGGAGTCTTGCCTCTGTCCTGGGAGATAATTTGATTACTTCCCAATTATCACTTTGGGAGTGTTTTGTTTGTATTGTGTGTGATTGGTTATACTGTGTCCCACCCTGTGGGATGTCCCCTTGCATGGGGACTTGCATAAAAGCCAGTGTGTGGTCATTAAAACCAGATCATCTTGTACCTTTCTTGAAGCCTTGGCTCATGTTTGGGGTAAGGGATACCTACACTCTGGGGATTGCTATAATCACTTACTCCCCAGAGTAAGCTCTTGCAATAGCTTGATTTGTTCCTGCTACACTCTCTGGATTTAGGCGAGGTTCACCCACTGGGAGCTGGATCCAGGGTGGGTGGAGACGGCGAGACCCCGGCGCAGCTGTATCGCTGGAAGTGGGGTCTGCAGTGCTGATGGTGTCGGTTGGAGTGCTTGGAGTCCTCAGCGAGCACTAGGCGCATCGATTGGCGGAGGTACTCAGTCGGAGTGCCAGCGTTCCGTCACATGCCCCACTTTGGTTTTCTTTGCAGGATAAACATTTTGAAGCTTTCTTTTTATTTGTTGCAAACATTTACAACATATATTCCCAAGGTATTCTATGGAACAAACTGTAAGGCAGGGGCGGACTGACCGGTCGGGCACTTCGGACATGGTCCAAGGGCCCGGCCAGGAGGGGGGCCCGCCGCCAGGACCGCCTTCAGGGGGCCCGGAGGCAGGGCTGGATTGGGGGCGGCATCTGGGGACTTCAGAGGAAGGTGCCACCGGGTGGCCGGTCCGGTGGCACACTGTGAGGGGGCCGGCCACGTTTCATGCTGGAGCCGCCGGACCGGGTGGCAGCCTCGCCGGTCCGGCGGCATTCCTCTCACTAACGCTGAAGGAGGAGGTTGGAGTGCTTGGAGTGCTTAATAT